GGGGCATGGTTTGCAGTGAGATGTGCTCAGTTGGTGCCTGAAGGGGCCGTGCTTGGTGAGCCTGTGATGTCCCGGGACCTTTGCCTCCCCGGGGGTCTGAAGGGTCCCTGGCTCTGGGGAGGGACGGATGGGGATCATGGCTGCCCTGCAACCGCACCAGGCAGCTCCTCCGCGCTCCCTGCCTGCAGGCAGCTCCTCCAGGCCTCTCGGTGAGAAAAAGTTCTTGTCAGCACCGTGATTATCTTAAACCTGCAGTTGTAAAGCGGAGAGATTCTGGTAATGGCGCCCGCAAGGGCAAATGCTGGACACTTAACTGTCAACCAGGCACAGTCCCAAGCACTAAATTCTACTAATCTCCACAGTAGCCCCATGATGGGAGCGCAGTGGATGGTGTAAGGGGACGTTGGTACAGGAATGGCTTGGGGTGGGGTTTGCGGGGAGACATCCAGTATGAGGGCTCCTGAAGGGGCCACGCTTGGGGCCCCCATGATGTCCAGCACTGGGCTCTGATCTCCTGTGAGGACACAGTGCCCCCCCAGGACCTTTGACACCCGGGGGTCTGAGGGGCTCCCCACTGTGGGGAGAGGCTAGGGGGTCATGACTGTTTCCCCGCCCAATGCCCCTCTGTGCCCTTCCCACAGCTCCCACGGCCGTGCCCCTCCAGCCTTCCGGCTCTTCTCGGCCCTTGGCCATGGCGGGGCAGGGCGACCGCTGCTACACATACACCGAGCTCCTGGCCATCGCCCGGCGCTTCCGGCAGAACCCCAACGAGCTCATGATCACCTGGATCCTGCGGGTGTATGACCAGGGGGGCCTGGCTCTGGCCCTGAATTCCAGGGAGTTGGTGATGCTGGGCGACCTGACCGGCGATGCCGTCTTCAACTACCGCTGCAAGGCCCTGCGGGGTGACGGCAAGACACTGCTGGCCTGGCTGCTGCTGGCCTGGCGCCAGCGCTGGGAGTCCTTCCTGCACTTTGAGGGCACCGAGCTGCCCTTCCGACCCTGGACCACCATGGAGGAGGGCATCCAGCTGGTGCGAGAGCTGGGCATGCTTGACTGGATCTACCGCGAGCCGCCGCCACTGCTCCCCGAGCCCGAGTGGCTGGTGCCCGAGGACGTGCCCTTCACGCAGGGCCTGCAGCGGCGCCTACTGGCGGCCGCGCCCTCCGAGCTGCGGCTCTCGCTGGTCGGCCTGCTGGTCAAGGGCGTGACGGTGCTGGAGGCGGTGATGGTGATCCAGACTGTCGCGGACGTGGGCCTGCTCTGGCGCCAGAGCCATCCGGGCCGCGCCAGGCTCATGCTGGGGCCCAACCCGACGCGCAAGGACCTCATGGGCTGGCTGCTGAGCCACGGCATGCCCAAGGAGCGGGTGGACAGGCAGCCCACCAAGGTCCTCCTGGAGCTGTACATCCAAGAGGCCAGGCGCAGCCACACCCGCGACACGTTTGGGCCGGGAGAGGAGCAGCCCCCTTGCCCACCGTACTCCGACCAAGCCTGTGGGGCGGAGCCACCCGTGCGCCATGACTAGCCCTCCCGCGCCTTCGGGGCAGGGGAGACGCAGAGCCTTGGTCGGCTCCAGCCGGTGTGCAAGGAGCCCCAAAGAGGGGTGTCCTTGCCCCCAGCCCACCCCGTGGGCGTCACCAGCCAGAGCTGGTGGAGAACAGGCAGCTGGCTGATAGCTGCTGTTGCTGGATGCCAGACAGTGTGTTACGTTTCAGTCCGTTACACTTTGGCCTGATGGGCATGGCGGCTGGGCCCCCGCACCCACCATGGGCTTCTCAAGCACTACAGGCCAAGCAGGGGACCCCGCAGCCCACGCCGTGAAAGCACCTTGAAGCTTGGACCCTTTCTCTTAAGGCTTTTTTTAATGCAATATTTTTACCTGTTAACTTCATACAGCACTTGGGTTTTATGGGTGCTCGTTTCCCCTTTTGCCAAGGTTTTTCTATTAAGTTTGTTTTGCAATGCCTTTCTCTTTTAAACTTGAATTTTGCGCTTTGCTCGCCTGCGAAGGGGGCAGCCGGTCCCTTCCAGTTTCTGTAGCTGCGTATGTGGCTGGTACCTTTGGCCGAGGGGTGCTGGGACCAAGAATCCCAGCTGTGAGGATGGACAGCCCTGGCAGGCGGTACCAGGCACCCATTAAGTAGCCTGCACGTCACTGCGTGTGAGCTGCGGCGTCTGACTGGGTCCAGGTGTGGAGCTGGAGCCAGAACCCTCCCCGGGTGAGGATGGAGAGAGTTGCACAGCAGCCCCAGCGAGGCCCGCCACCTCCACGACCCTCCCAGCAATCTGCTGAGGAGGGGGCTGGGCTCACAGCTGCAAGGTCGGCTGGAGCTTCCTTTGGGTCTAACGTGGATCTGGAAGCAAGAGGCTGCACCACTGCAATTCCAGCCCTGCCCCCCAAGCAGGACCAAGAAGGGAAGTGCAGAGGGTATTCCTAGGCCTTCCCTGAGGCCCTGTGACAGTCCAGTACCAGCAGGGGTAGTGGTAGGCTGTGCTCATGACAAGAGGCTCCCTTGGGGGCCCAGGGCAGGTGATGCAGGGAGGTGGGTGGAGCCGGGCTTGTCCACACGTGGGAGGATGGGGCTGCTGACCCCTGCCCTTTCCCTCCCATGCCCACGGTGTTCTGGCAGCTGGGGGTGGTTCTCGTGTCTGGCTGCCCAGCCCCACCTCTGATCCTCCAAGCCTCCCCCATCTGACAGGCACCCAGTGCCGGTTACAGAGCACCCACTGCACACCAGGCTGCCCACCAACAGCCTAGTGGGGTGTTGACACGTTTGCCTGATTATGCAGACAGGATCATTGGTGCCCCAGACTGCTGCCTGGTGGTTGGCGTGTGGAGAGGGCAGAGCTGCCTCCTGGGTTGCAGGGCTAAATGCAGCAGCGCAAGTACAGGCCTGGGACGGCCTGGTCTGTGACCAGCACCACGTGAACCTGCTGTGCGGTAGCGTTACCTTTCCTTACGTTCAGGGCTGTCCCATGGAAGCTCCCTGTCTGCGCTGCCTGTTAGGGTAGCCACCTGCCACGTGTGGCTAATGAGTGCTTGGACTGGCTAGTACGACTGGGACCTGAATTTCACATTTTATTTATTTACACAATGTGAATTCAAACAGCCACGTGGCAGCCAGTGGCTACCACACTGGACAGTACTTGGGTGGGATCCCGGGATCCCACCCCCTCTAAATCGTAATTATAGCAAATGCTATGCTAGGTAGCCCAGAGGGGATGCTACCACCCCCCTCCTGCTACTGGCTCCCCGGAGGCTAGTTAACCTGATGGAGGAGTCGTGTGTGCCAGAGGAGATGGTGGTGCAGAGACGAATGCTTAGCCCAGAGTCAGCCTCCAGGTTGGTCCCAGCAGGCTGGCTGGGCAGCCAGGCTCTGAACCCTGACCTTGGCTCTCCCACTACCAGGCGGGCACCAAAGCCAGGCTGAGTAAGCTGGACCCCGACAGTGCATGACCCGTGGTGGGGAGGAGGTCGCCCCGCAGGCTCGCACACATCACGTGTGCTGCACCTACAAATAGAGGTTCCCTCACGTACACCACGTGTTCCCAGGCATGTATAGAAACCTGCACGTAAACACTGGTGCACGTATCACCCACACACGCAAAGGAGCACGTAAGCATGTGCGTGTACGTCGAATATGTGTATACACAGGTCCGTGCAGGAGCATATGCATGAATAGACATCCACACGTATGTACACGTGTACACAGACCTGTGCACGTGCGTTAACGTATATGCACGCTTAAGCCCACACATACATAGGACAGCTTGTGACTTGGCCTGGGAGCCCTCCCTGTGTTCCCCCGGCGCGCACAGTAAGTCACAGAAGCCAGAGCAGCAGGTGAGCAGATGTGTTGGGATCCAGTGTCAGCTGCGGGGGAAAGGGTGCCGGTTCCGTGGCTCACACGGGGCCCCCCCAGGCCCGCAGGCAGCCGGCTCTGCAGGCCAGCAGGCCCAGCCCCATGCTGAGGGCTGCCAGCACGGCCACAGCCCCAGCCAGCAGGGGCACCACGGTGGCTGCGGGGAGAACGGGGGGCAGGGTGAGTCTCCAGACCTGAGCCGCCCTCCTCCCACCCCAGCACCGAGGGCCGTCACCTGCGGGGGTGGCGGGCTCGTAGAAGCTATGGCAGGGGACCCCGTGAGCCGGAGGCCGGGCGGGGGCAGTCAGCTGGCGGAAGCGGCTTAAGGGGCAGGCCGCCGGGCACCCGGGGAGGCTGAGGGTCAAGGGTACTCCAGCGGAGTCGTTGCGGTAGAAGAGGGAGATGGTGACATTCCTGGAGGGAGAGAGGACGTGGTGGTACCCAGGCCCCTCCTTGCCTTCCCTGCTGCTGACCTGAAATCTGGATGGAGAACTGGGCTCCTGACTCCTACTTCCTGATGCCGTCCCCAGTAAATTCCCCTCGAAGCCTGTGCCTGGGCCATGCCCTCTACCTGGCACCGCATCACTCCTCTTGAGAGTTCTGGTCCTGCCCATTCCCGGGTACCACCCCCTCCTCACCCTGCGTCGTCATCCGGGTCCCCAAGGCGCCTCCGGAACTCAAAGCCGAGGCAGGCGGCATAAGGCGGTGTGTGCCCGTCATAGAGACCCAGGGCCCCCTGGAGGGCCAGGAGAGTGCTGTCGTGCTGCAGGCGGATCCAGGGCTGACTCGGGGCTCCTCCAGATGTCTCCTCTCTCCTAAACTTGTGCATCCAGCTGCCTCCCAGATGTCCCTCAGACCCCTTAGAACCAGTCCCCCGAAACCTGCTCACCCTGGAGGCAGCCCCACCAGTTACAGGTGGTCACTTAATAAAGATTGGTTAAATAGACACGAAATATGATTACAGCTCAGTTAAAAAGCCAGTCCTTCCAGAAAAACTGAATTCTTTCCCATAACACCATCACCTCCATCCTTCCAGATTCCATGCTTCTAGTGATATGGTCCAAGAATATGGTTTGGAGATATGAGTTACTCAAGGCATTAGGCTGAGGTTCCATTGGGACCACCAGTCCTTTCCCACCCAAATTGCCCCCTCCCATCCCTGTGCCCACGTGGCACTGCCTCCCTTCCCAAAGACTCACAGCCGAATACATAACCATCTTGAGGGGCAGCCCCAAGCGCTGCACCCGAGAGAAATTGGCAAGGATGGCATCCAGCAGGATTCCTGACAGGGCGAGACAGAGTGCTAAGAACTCTCCAGAGGACTTCGCCTCAGCCTCCCAGCCTCCCAGCCTCCCAGCTCCACACCTCACCCCCAGACAGCTGAGCCTTCTCTGCTGCCCCGGGTGGGCCCACATGTGCCCCAATATCCAAAGCTGAGATCTGAGCTAGTGTCTGCAGGACATCCGGGGAGGCCCAGGACGGGAGGGGGAGACCGTGGGCTTGCTGGGGAGAGAGAGGGAGGGGACAAAGTGACCGCAACGTCCTGAGCTCTTCATGCCCCCCTTAGGCCCTCCTGTGTTGCCCCCATCAGCTGCAATCCTCTCTCCCGACCCTCATGGGCTAGGTCTGGTCAGGAAGTTATGGGGTGGGCGATAGCGATTATTAATTAAGCATAGGAATGACCATCATTCCAGATGGCCTTATCCAAAATCCTTGGGCCCAGAGCTGCTCTGGAATTCAGACGTTTGGAATTTTAGAAAGGTACGGTGGTGAGGATGCCTTATACCTCATAACACATCCAGTGGGGTCTGGGGCAGCCCCCTTAGACATACATTCCCGTAAAGTGGGGTAAGAAAACACTAACAGCATCATGCAGCTTCAGGTCACCTCCTGCTGCCGAAGCCTTAGTTACTGGCGCTTTTCCGCTTATGGAACTGGGGGATTGGAGTTGCAAGCACGCAGACTGAAAGGCCTCACTGGGTGCCAGGCGCTGTTCTAAGGCATCACGTGAATTAACCCGTTTTGATCTAAACAGCAACCCAGGGGGTGTTGATAACGTGTGTCGCCATCCCCATTGTGTAGATGGGGAAACTGAGGCACTAAAGGTTAAGTGACTTGCCTGAGGGAACACAGGTAGTGAGCGGCAAAGCTGGGATTTGAACCCAGGTGCCATAAACGACTTGGCTGGGTGGGTGAGGCAGGGACCCACCTGGCAAATAAGAGTGTCCAGAACTTTCCACGCCCTGCGGAGCGGCTCCCCGACCAGCGACAGCCCCGTGAAGTTCTCCAGGTGAGCCAAGAAGTCCTGGATGCACCGGACTGGGCTGGGTGAGCCTGACAGACCTCCGAGCCCGGCGGGTCCCACGAGGTCCTGCCGGCCCCGCCCCGCTCCACTGGCCCCGCCCCGCACCGCAGGTCCCGCCCTAT